AATATTTTAATTCCACCCGTGTGGACAGGGCCGGATCATCGCATAGACAAATGAGACAAATGTCTATGGCCCAGTTTTTAGAAGGGCCCGGTCGAACTGTCTATTTTGAAAAGATTTGTAAATAAGATACTTTACTTTTCTGTTGGAATTAACCTATCCAATTTCGAAATTTTTCTCCGTTGCGCGTCGGCCCGGGTTGAATTTTTGTCGATGCCTAACGAAAATTTCCCGTCTTTGAAAAAAATAATCGTGGCTATTGTATCGTCCGAAATTATTATTATTTTTTTTTTATTTTGCACGAACAATATACAGTTTAACCCGATCATAACACCAAATTTTTATCGGTCCCACGATTTTAGTATACTAGATAACGTTAAAAAACCTACATGTAACGACATAACATTAATGTTATATGAAGCATTCCCAAATTTACAAAATTAGATTACAAATTTTATTTAACAAAGAAAATACTACGTGTTCAGTCCTAGAGTCAGAGTCCATTTCCTAGAACGACTGCGGGTGTTACTCTCACCACCTGACTTCGGTTTGCCTGTTTGTAGACAGAGTCGCCATTTTGTATTTTACTTTGACTCGGTATGGGTCCTCTGAGTACCTACAAGTCTGTGTTTTTTTTTTTATGCGCGCATGATTTGGGCATTTAATACTCTGTGCCAAATTGCAACTCCTGACATATACACCTTTATACCTCTAAGCTGGTAACACAGCAGGCAGTACGATTTTATAGACAACACATAGTCTTGTTGACAATTAATATTTTAAGGTAAATATTGTTATTGTACAACAACTTTTGTTAGACGTTTAATAAAACAAATTTCAATTTTTTAAATTTATAAACAAATTGTTCAAACTTTTCTAGAAAAACTAAAATTTATTGTTGTGTATTAAATATTTTTTATTAATAAAAATTTAAGATTTGTTTTAGTTTTTCACATTATTTAGTTTTGTTTTATTTATTGTTTTATATTTTTTGTGTGCTCTATTTCTTGTGAGAGAGGGGGCCCGGTAAGAAGAAAATGTCTAGGGCCTGAAAGTGGGTTAATCCGGTCCTGTTTGTATCTGCAAAAAACATAAGCCATTTCTCTTCCATACTCAATTTCATAGTTGCTTTGTAGTTTTGGTTGGTATTATTTTTCTCTAAATAATCTTTTAGATATACAAACTAGTTGAATAGAATCTCATGTTGCCAATATCAATGTTACTTGTAAACATGCAATAGTACATTCTATTTCTGGAGCACCACCACAAGCTGACTGCCTCATGCAGAGTTTAGGGAGAAAATGGGACAAATAGTAATACAGGACTGAGTAATGAAATATGGTGACAGTCCTGTATATACTGGATGTATGGCAACCCTACATAATCGGAACTAAATTGATATATACAAGATGATATTTTGTATTTAAAAATACTAAATGCTTAAAAATATAATAATCAGATAATTGGTTTAGAAAATAATGTGTTAATGAAAACCAGTAAATATTGAAGTAGTAACATACAGTATATACTAAATTTAATTTGAACTTAGCTTCAATCATGTATGTGAAACATATACACTCATTGCCATAAAAATTACCGGACCAAGAAGGAATTGTCGTATCACTGCAAAACTTGGCATGCAGATAAGTCTTAAGCAGATATGGAAATGATTAGAGTTATAGTGTGATTGCTCAGAGCCAACAGAAGGCATTAAAGTGTGTCTTCCTTGGCCTATAAAAAAAGCATCCTGTCTGAGGTTTAGTAGTTGCAGAGGGACGCTGTATCACTAGAGATGCCTTTATGTCACAATCAAAGACCATATGAACAACTAACCAAGTTTGTGAGGAGAAGGATCATTGGGTTGAGAGAAGCTGGATGGTCATCTTGCCAAATAGCCCGTCACCTATACCATTCTGCCAACACTGTGGGGAGGTGTTGGAACCAGTGGACAAGAGACACTCACACTCATGGCACCCAGGCTCAGGATGCCTTTGGCAGACCACTAGGACAAGCATGCACATAGCCAACCATATCATTGTCCACCATATAAACACAAGTGGTGCCATCATTATAGGCCTTTCCATATCATTTTGGGACACCTGGATGAGGAACATTTGGTATCACAGTGGCCATCACATGTGCTGCCATTGACAGCCACCTACCATCACCTGTTTGGAATGATGTCACTCCCAATGGGATTGGACTACAACACAATAGAATCAAATTGTCTACAGTGATGAATCCAGATTCAGTTTGAACATTAATGATGGTCGTGTTCATGTCTGGAGAACCCAAGGTGAATGCTCAATCCTGCCTACATTTTGGAGTGGTACACTGCCCCATAGCCAGTGATCTGGGGTAGTCATCACATACGATAGCCGGTCATCTTTAGTAGTGATCTAAGGGATCATGACAGCCCAATGATATGTTAGTGACATCCTGCTACCACATGTGTTGCCTCCCATGGCAGGGCTCCCAAGAACCATTTTCCAACAGGACATTGCTCAACCACACACAAGGTGTCACAGACTACCTCCACCACATTGCCACACTTCCCTGGCTTGCTTGGTCCCAATTTGTCACCAATCAAACATGTCTGGGATCCTCTGGGACACCAAGTTGGACAGCCTAGGAGTTTAGGACCCCTTGCATCAACTGAAACGTTGCAGGTTACCATATGGTACCTGTATGCCTCCATGCCCGCATGTATCATATCATGTATTCACGCTAAAGGTGGCCCAACAGAGGACTAGAACTTTCTTTCATTTCCTTTCCTGCAATAAATGATCCTTTTGCTTTCATTTTGTAATCACTTATTTATATCACCATTACACTCACACATGTACAATTTTGTTTGATTTCAACAACAACTTCTTGGTGCACTAATTTTTATGTCAATGAGTATACTTTTATAAAAAATTAGAAAACAAATTATTACATGATAGAAACAAATATAATGTAAACTTTGAAAAGTTTTTTTTTTACTTTTAAATAATCTTTAATTTTTCTTTGAAACATGCAAGCTGATTCTTTTACAACTATATCTCTCATCCTTTCTTAAACAATATTTCAATGTATTAACTAGTAAGTAAAAAGTATATGGTAACTATTTTTATTTTTAAACACTAAACATTTACTTAATTGATTGATTATCTGAACATCATTCATTCAAACTATGCTTTTCTGTATTAAATATTACCGTATAAAATTATTATTAATAAATTGAATAAAAACAAAATGCACATGATCTTTACAAAGAATCAGTATATCATATCAGAATATGATCTTTTTTAATTCATTATATGCACTGAAGTCCTCCTAAGTTAACAACAGTGCTATTATACAGCAAGCCAAAAATCATCAATCATATTTTAAATAAAAAAGTCTATTTTTGATTATTGATTATGATCAATAATGTTAATAATATAGCATAAAAAATCCTACTTTTTATTGTTTAATTCATTTTATAAAGTTAGTAATATCATAAGATACATTAATATCAATACTGATAATTTAAAAATAATATGTAGATACATATGGATATATCTATATATTATTTAGTTTTTCATAATATTCATTAAATGGAAAAGTTATAAAGCATACAGGATTCAATTCAGAGATTTCTGTTATTAGTCTGGATTTATATATGTATAGACTAATAACAGAAATCTTAATTGAATCCTGTATGCTCTATAGCTTTTGCATTCAATGAATATCGCGAGAAACTGCAAAAATAACATAATCCCTTCACACTTGATAGCATTTGAAACTAGCCGATATCTTTAACTATAGATGGCTTCACTATATTTTATTCATTCTACGTGGAGAATAAATGGCTACCTTTGTCCATTTTAGGAATAATTTTATGAAATTAAATATAACTGTAAATATTACTTGCAAATAATAGCATTTACAAAGCTTACCGATTTTTGTTTTACATAATAGACCAAACCTCTATTTGAAGTTAGATAAAACTAACCAATTAGTAAAATTCAACCAATTTTTTCCCATATAGTTTTAATTTTAATACGTAGTTGAGCATAGCTTATTTAATTAACACGCAACACCATACTAATGTCGTCATTGTACTTTTCCAAACTATAATCACACACATCTACGCAATCGTGCTTAAAGTGGTATTTCTAATACGGAAAAATATTGTTAATTTTAAAATTCATTTACTATTAAAGAGCACTCCTGATCTATTTTACCAACTAAATTATTCTGAGGCTTTCTCTTTATTCTCATAAATCACAAAAATTATGCAATTTAGATCATTTNTATATATAATCATTGATAATTTAATAAATTATTTTTAACCTGTATTTATTAATTTAATTTAAGTATTACATTATTAATAATGAAATTTTAAAAACAGTTTAATGACTTTACATATTTCATATTAGCAGAAAAATTGAAAGCAATCATATCATCATTTCAACATAAACATTTGAAAAATTGCAAAACTTTAGCTGAAACATGAAATTTTACAATTTGAATGATTTATTTGAAAGATTATTTATTCTATCATCACTAAAGATAAAAGCATTATTGAAAAATTTCATTCAAGTTAAATTCAATTTTTATTGAACTTGAATGAAATATTAATTACCAAAATTAACTATATGTATAAATTATTTATGTTAATAAGTAATTTTCTTTTCTTGCAAGTTTGAATTCAATATTAATGTAATCTCACAAGTCAGTTTACCAATGAAATATTAATTACCAAATATACATCTACTTAATGAATAATCAATTTGATTATTAATGAAAATTCGAAATGACCTTCAAAGCACTGAAGCACTTCAAAAATAATTCTGTTAAATACATTCAGGTAGAAACTGATTACACTAACATCTCAAACAGGTAGAATTTAGGTCAACGTCTAGATTCTATTTTTAGTAATACAGAAATATACATTTAAAATTAACTCATTTATACCCGTAAATCACTTATTATTTTAATAATTAAAATTTATATATTAAATTATCATAGCATACTTTCTGAAAACTCGTCTTAAAATGGCTTCGTCTTGTTCCTCTTCTTCCACATCTCTACCTAGAAGTATTTCCTTTCTATAATTCTTGTTTATATGACCGTCTCTCTCCATTTTTAAAGCTTCCAGATGATCGGGAGGATGAAGATCAGATATTTTGATGTCTCGCAGACTGGCATTTTTCGATTCCGATGTATTTAACTTAAACGGGAGTGATTGGGACGTGACGATAAAACATACAGTTAATATAAAAACGTATATTTTGTCCATAATCTTATAATTCACGATTTCGTATAATTCCGTTCATAATAAAACTGGTTTATGTTCGGTTACGACTCCATGTGACTGGCTAGCTGAAGCGCCACTAGCGGCAAATTTTTAAATTATCCTGGTATGAAGGTTAATTAATATATACAAGTTGACCCCCCTATAACACTGTTGATAATTCTGTTTTATATGAATTCCATGTTGTACGAGTCACTTAGATTTTACAAATACTTGTGCCGGGCTGTGAATGGCTCACGTATTTGTAAAATCTAAGTGACTCGTACAACATGGAATTCATATAAAATGGAATTATCAACAGTGTTATAAGGGGGTCAACTGGTATTAATTAATAATTCCGCGTATTTTATTCGTTATCTCGAATTTTTATATACGATTGTTTTATTTCTAAATGCGAAACGAAATTACGTAAGCGTTCGGTTAATAGAGCGTGAACTGTTCGTTTACAAAAACTTAAAATAGAAAGTTATGGCGTGAAGTTTCTTCTCCGGATGATACGACACAATTTTATTATTATTATTATTTTTTCTTTTCTTTTCTTCTTCGGGAAGTGACGATTGGATTTAACAAGTTTTGATAGTTTTAATAAAATTAAATGCGCTTAAGTGCCAAATTTACAACTTGTTCTGAACGAGCAATTACGTTTAAGGTCATATAAATGAAATAAACGTAAATTGTAAAATATATTCTAATAAAAAAAATTAATTTTAAAATTTAAATCGCATTTTTATGTTGTGATTTATTATTTAAAATGTTTAAAAGAAATGTAAGGTGAACCGGAACACGCCGGTACATTGTACAAGCGGATAGAGTAAGACTAGTATTAAGTACCGATAGTCGGTACGTGATACCAGCAGTAGCTGGGTAAAAAATTCTATTCGTGTATGTTTAGGCGAGAAGTCATGACTGGCACGATAAAAACATGCAGCGCTATTCTATCAACCATCGGGCCTATTGGAGTTGACGTAAAAAGCAAATGAGGTGACGTTCTCCCCTTTCCATGAACAGGCGGCAATACAGGGTTTTTTAGATCCTGGCAATCTCTGTCTCCGTTACGTTCTTGTCAAGAAACGAGGTACGAAGTGCTAATGATATTTTGAAAGGGAATAGTAAAAACGTGGTTACTTACTAAAAGGGCACCATTTATCAACTGATACTAAATCCAAAACAAACGGGAAAGAAAGCTAAGACGACGATTTAGAAAAAAAAAAGAAAAAATCGCGAAATACTATAAATGATTCAATATAAATATGTATGTACTACATTTGTACAGAGAAAGGAAATAATCAGTATTATTAAACACTGCTTTTTACTTTCCTGGCTGTTATGTGTAGGCTACATAACAAGTATTGAAACCGTATCAAATTTGAACCCTCAGAGTTTTTTGCAATCCAAAAAAGTAAAAAAAAGAAAAATTTCATTTTATTTTTAAATTAGTTACTCATTTTTATCATAGAAAACTTTTTACTGATGACAAAATTAAAATAAAAAAATTTGTTCTAGCGGGTCGTGATAGTTCGGTCGAGTACCGAGGTACCACTGCATTTGATTAACGCGAGTTTGACATACGCGGTAGCACCGAGGGATTAACTGTCAATCAAATTGTGCTATGTATATATATATATATAAGTTATATTACAGTCAATGGCGTGCTGTGACAGTCGATGATAGGAAAGCTGTGTTTCTGTAAGAAGCCGACTTCCAAGGGTCAGTCAGTTAATTGCGCGTTAGTGATGGTCTAGGATCCATTCGTATTCGTTTGATAAGCCAGTAAAAACCGTAGACTTCTCTACATGTATTTTTAATATCACAATTACATTTCGAATCGCTAGCCACGATATAAGGGCTACAATTAAAAATAAAATAATAAAAATTTATTTTGTGAAATAAAATGTGTGGTGGATGTACCGGTACATATCTGGTATAAAATATTCTTCAATTGTACGAATATACTTTTAAAGAAAATTATAATTAAATATAGCTTTGTAAAGAAACGTACATAAAAATAACAAAATATTCTTTACTTTTTAAATCTTAAAACAATGCACTTAGTCAAATAGCTCCCTACGAGTGGCTAATGGATGGAATCAGAGACGGTCCTAGTAGGTGCATGCACGCGAGCTGCCAAATCCCGAGGGTGCCGATACCGGTCAATGTCAAATGCCTCTTTTGTCGCATTACTAGTATAGGATGCGACAGAGTTGTAAATTTTAACGTTTCTCACCATAGCTGTAAAAATTTAAATATGTTAAACTTAATAGTCATTTGTTTTCTAACTAATTCGTTTTAGGACCAGGTGTCCACGGAAATTTCCAAAATTTACAACTTTTCGGTCACTCTCATTGAACTAGAAAAATTTCTGTCTTTATTATCTAATATTACGAAGAAATCAGTCTCCACTGTACTCGGCTAGAGATTGGTTCGGTTAAGCTTTTGTTTAAGTAAAATTTCGGCTCTTTCGTCAAGGTTTTATTTATGTCCCCAATTCCCTAATCGCTAAATTATTTAACTACTTCTTAAGTAGAAATAAGTCGAAACCGGTTACTTTGTACTTGAATATTTATAGTCTTCCGAAAGTGGTGGAAAGACAAATTTTTTATGACAACGGATATATAAATCGTAAATTTAAGGAAAATAAATTCTAGAGGTTTTTTGTATCTTGTGCATCTCATTCATTACATTTAGTTGTAAATGATGCTACCAATGTAACAGTTAATTTTTTTAACATTGTACGTTTTTTCCTGCATCCTCTTATAGATGGGACATACTAAATCGTAATATTACTAGTTTAACATTGAAATCTGTAAGTAATACAAGATGGGAGAGCAGAATAAATATATCAAATATTTTAATGGATTTTTTTTAAAACTCATGTCAACTATCATAATAACATACCAGTATATTCTTATCGGTTGGGTTAAGTTATAAATCTACTCGTGATTTATTCATTCATTCCGCCACTGATATTCGAATATATAATAATATCTTATCGTTTTTTTCACATGTAGTATAGAAATTTGTAATAAGAAACATATAGTGGTTATAATAAAATATTAATTTTAATTAATTTAAAGTATATCACGTGTTGGGCAGGATTGTCACAATCTAAGTTGTTTGTTTGTCCCCAGGTTTGAGATTTAGGCAATTAGATAAGTGATATTGCTTCATCTCGAATGTAGCTATTTTTTAGGTTTTATTTAATTATCATAAAGAAGGTAAGATCAGAATTTAAAGCGGTAAGTGTAGTACCTAACCCTCAATATAACAATATTTTTATAATCTAAGTACGAACCAGGTCTTGAAGGGCTTTACTCAGCCGTATGATTGTTTTATTTATAGTGTACTCAGGTCAGTCTGATCCCTACCATACTCAGTACGTTGTTAATTTTTTTTTCGGATTGTTCTTTTCTTTTGCAGAATTCTTTTGTAGTGTTCTTGTGTTTTTATTATAGTTAAAGCCAAAATTTTTAAACAAACTATAGCTTGCGAAAATATTTACAATGAAAAACTACATTTAGACCTCTGTTCTGTTGAAGTTAAAATCTTTCTAAGAGGTAATAAGGAGCTAATAACTGTGGTAAATGAAGGAAGTGTTGCATTTGCCCATCAAAAATAGACAAAGAAAACATGCCAATAAATGCAAAAGACTAATATATACAAACTGTACCAACAAATAGGAAGAAAGAAGTGAAGCAATTAAATGAACTATTTATTTACTTTACCAGAATTAAAGAGACTGTAAATGAGAGGAGACAAACTAAAAAAGTTCATCTGTGTGACTTTTTTTTTTGCCTTCTCTGTCAAAATTTAAAGAATAAGAAAATTGAAAATAATAAAATTTTGTTATCAATCTCTGTTTAGAGTCAAAGCAAAAATAAGTCTTGATAAAAATAAGCAAATTATAGATTTAAAATGTAACTTTTAAAGTTTAGCCTGCTTGATATTTCGTTTGCAGATCAACGAACTTCTGCTGGAAAAGCTGCTTTACAGGTCAAAATGACATTGATTTTCTCTTTGCGTTTTTAATGTTTACTTTAAACATTTAACGTACAAACACAAACAATTCATGATCTATTTTGTTGTATCACTAACTGCCATCTTTCTACCAATTTCTCAACTCTTCTTGTGAAAAAGTCCTCAGATTTTGAGGCAATATAGTCCACAATAGCATTTTTGACTTCATAAATTCGACCAAACTTTTCCTATCTAAATGATTCTGTAAAGATCTAAATAAATAATCTGAATGTGCCAAATCTAGAGAATATGGCGGATGAGGCAAAACTTTCCACTGCAATTCTCTTATTTTTTCTACGGTTACTTTGGCAACATGTGGTCTTTCATTGACATGATATAGTACAGTATAATGCCCTTGGGGTTTACTAGCTCCGGTCTTTTGTTCTTTTGTCCTTTAATGCTTTGCTTAAACGGTCTAATTGTTCACAATATGTGTTGGCATTTATGATTTGGTTCGTATCTACTAGTTCATAATACACTATTCTCTTCGCATCCCACCATATGCACAACATTACATTTTTGGGTGCAGTCCACTTTTTGGTGTGGATGTTGATGGCTCTGTTGGATTTAGCCACGATCGTTTCCGTTAAATATTAGGATATAGTATCCATTTTTCGTCTCCAGTAATTACTCGTTCTAAAAATGGATCTTTCTTTTGACGATCGAATAATCCATCAATACTTAATAGAGGTGGAGATCCAGGTGGAGTGAGGTCAATGATGACCCCACTCCCTATTTTCGAGTCATATTTTTTTACAAAAATATTTGTAATTTTTTTTTCTTTCGTGGCTTTTAATATATTTTCCCATAATTGAGCCTGTCCAAAAAGGATTTTCTGCCAGAGGCTTTATTTTGCAAGTTACATTAAAACTCACATCTGTTACTATGGGGTCAACTATGAGCCTAAAGTTAATTTTTTCATTTTGATAAGTCTCAGTGTTTCTTTCTTGGTGACTTTTGTGTGAAATTGTTAAATACTCTTTAATGATGTTCCGTATCATTCCAGAAATTTCCTGATTGTCCCCAGATGAATCATCATTTGACAAACAGGAACTGTATTGCTCCTCCACCTCTGTTATAGCAATCTCATCATCGTCATCTGAGTTATCTTCATAATTATCGTACAAGATGTCTTCTTCATCACTTTCATATCTATCACCCACTTTCTCAAACAGCAGATTGTGAATTTGAATAAGATTATAGTTTTCTAAACATCTCTGATAGGAGAAATTGCATCTTCTACCGGAAAAAATAGAAAACAAAAAAAAATTGTTTCCCTTTTTCGACATTCTCCACATCACTACTCTAAATACTTTTATAGTACGGAGATACAATACAAATTAGAATTTAAAAAAAGAGGTTTAGAGCAAGGTTATTTCTTTTAGGAATAGGAATATCAACGATGAAAAAGTCGAGCAAAAATCACTAAAATATATTCTTAGAAAGTATTGAGATCAGCCTTGACTCGTGCTATTCAATGTAACAATAAAAAATAGGTAGTACAAGGATTGAAGTACAGTAATTACATTTCCTTTTCTTTTAAAAACTGAAAAACTAGGGAAACTTACTTTTAAACAAGATGGAAAATTATTTAATAATTCTTAAAAACTAATTTTAAAAATAAATTCATGTAAACTAATAAATTTTACTTTTATGATCTATTATACAAGTCATAAAAATTGTATTTTATTATATAAAAGCCATACTAATCTTTTAAAAAAATCTTACTAAAAACAATCACAAAAAAGAAAGTAAAACATCAGCTAGAATCTAGATTTTTTTTTTCTTTTTTTTTGCAATAGATTTTAACTACTTAAACGAAATGTTCGCAATAAAAAACTATCAAATTTTGCATTATTTTCTATAGCGATGAAAGCAATTGCAAGTTTCGAACGAATTTTGTGTAGTACTTCGTTAAATTTATTAAAATACACTTAAACAGTATCCGAGCGATCGTAGATCTTCACTAAAAATACGAAGTATTTTGGCACAGTTACGCGAAAAAAAAGTTTTTAAATACACGATTCACACGAATAATCTTTAGTAATTTTTTTTTTTCAGATTTATTATAAGATTTTATTTTGTTATAATGAATAAATTAATACACGATTAATAAAATCTACGCGATTAATACGGGACAATACACTAAGAAAAACAAATGTAATTTTCGTATATTCTTTCTTAAACGTGTCAAGTCAAATTATAAAATTCATTTATCTGAAGTGTTTCGACGCATTGTAAACACCTGCGCTGTCGCCGTTTCTAAACACATCAAACCGCCCACTTAATAATGTAAAAAAAAAAAAAAAAAATAGAATTATAAAATAAACGTGTTAAGTTTTATCCAATCCGCACTCATTAAATTAATATAAATAAACTAATGGAGCCGGCCATTTTTTTTTCCCTTCTATTTTACTGAGGATTCGAGTTTCTCTTTTTGATACTCGGAAGGAGCCGTGACGCCATATTCGGTCGCCAATTGATCGATAAAGTAATTTGTTTGGAAGCCATCCAAGAGTGCGAGGAGTGGAGATATTTTGAGATATGCAGCGGACAGCGTCAAATATAAACAATCGCCATCTGCATCCTTTAACCTTGGATGTAAGGAGAAAAGAAACTGTTCTGTAGAGAAAGAGTTTTGACGGCGGTAACGCGGCATGTCCAAGAAGAAGAAAGATACCAGCTGTCAAGATGACGGAGAACTTTCGGTTCCTCTTCCCATCCAAACGTTTTTATGGAGGCAAACCAGGTGATACGAATTATTTTTCCATTCGCGGTTACATTCGAATTTTATTATTTGTCATTCAATTTATATTTTTAAATAATAATAATAATAATAAAATATTTTTTTTGTTTTAAATATAAGATAACAGAGGGCGTTCTTATTGACGGTACGAAAATTTAATTTATTGCTTTGACACGTGGTTTGATGTGGCATCAATATACATGAGAAAAGCGAAATCGATTTAATAATCTAAGAGTGTTTTATTAAGTTTATTTAAAAGATTTTAAATTAAGTTATTTATTTTTATTTTTTAGAGAAGTTGAAAATTAAGAGATGAGAAAAATAACACAAAAACATCTAAAAACAATATAAATTGGTATTGTAATACAGATTTATATTGTAACTTTTATGATAAAATATATAGAGAAGAGTTTGTTTATATAATCGGATAAACTGAGGAAGTTCTTGTCTTCAACACAGACTTTTTTTTAAAAAAATCTTTTCTTAATATGCTTTAGACTTTGAGACATTCATAATTATGTGTACAGTTTTTGAGACAGTTTTGACCCCCTTTATCCACAATGAGTTTTGTCAAACTATCTCCCCTTTAATTACTTTGTACAATAGTTCATAGACACTCCATGACATTGAAGAAATGGCTTTAAAAAGTTTTTCAAATATTTTCTTACTGATAGTTTATTTGCATGACTAGTGATTGGGTTTATCAAAACAAATTCGTTTGCCACTAATACTGCTAAAATAGTCCACTAAGACAATGCCTAGACTCTCTCTCTCTCCATTCGATACAATGATGTGCTTTTCACAATTCCCTCCTCTTCTTAAACTGTACCTGTAATAAATAGGCAGCCCCATTTTGATATCTTGTTAATTTTTATTCGCTTTTTAAAAATATCGCATATATTTGTATTCGATGTAACATTGGTTTCTTAACAGTATTATAATAAAGAATTTTGATGACTAAGGTTGATACTTTAAGACTATGTTGCAGTTTCTTAAAGGTTTATGAAATTTATTTTGTGTGAAATTGCTGTTTTATTGTGTAAAATTGCTATTGTGTTTCGTAGCATTATAAATACAAATTTACTCAGAAAATGAAGTATTTTATTAAATTTAGCCTGTTGATAAATTGCATTTTGTTATAGTTCCTGAGATAGAAACATCAATACTTCATGTTAAAAGTACCAATGCATAACAATAATATAAAAGCAGTATTGAATAAATAGAACTTAAAATATAAATTTTATTTTTGTAGAAAAATCTAACTATAGAAAACTCAAAAAAGTGAAAATAAAAAATATTTTATAAAAGATACTTCTAGTAGGCTCTGTAAGCTAAATACTTCTAGTAGAACTCAGCTACTGGTATATAAATTTCAATTATTAAATAAAAGATATTCCTACATTTTTGATTGATGTATTTGAACAGATTTTATTTGTACAAGAATTGCAAAATTTATTATGATATACTGGTACCTGACAACTTCGTCAGGTGCCAGTATATCAACAAAGAAATAATGGTCCCATTGCCTGAATTGAAATAATAAGTAGATAATATAATTTAATTATAAGATGAATCTTTTAATATATATAGAATTTTTTTGAATGATTTGATTTATTTATGATTTATATATTTGTTTAAAAACTAATAAAAGATAAGATAATCATGTAGAGTAATAAATATTTTTGAACTCGCTATTCCTTAAATGATCATACATAATACATTTAATTAAATATGTTAGATTGTTATATTTTATATTTAACTATTTAATAACTACATAATAATTTTATAACTTCAAGAATTTATACTCAGATCTATTTTTGTTTAAGATATTTTTAGATATCTTTATGAATATTTATACATAATGTATTATTTTAAAAAATAATTTCAAAATTTAGTATGATAGTTTGCAATTTTTATTTGAGTCATTAATAACCCTTTTTTGCAAATATATTAAATTTTTAAAGAAAAATTATAAAGAAACTTAAAAGGATTAAATACTGAGCATTCTGTTTATTACCAAAAATGAGAAAACACATTTTGTTATGTTTTTTCTTGTAATAATGTAAACCATAGTACTATCACTCAAACCTTTAAAAATACAGTATAATTTTTATTTTAAAACATTTTTGGTCGTCTTAAACAACCTTCCTTAGGATAAAAGAAAAAACAAATTGCAATTTAAAAATAAGAATGAAAGCTGGAATGTTCTCTGGAACAAGTTGATTTTGAGGACAGAGGACATTCCAGTTTCTGTTGATTTTGAATATTACATTTGAATACATTGATTTTGAATATTTAACATTTTAGATCAGCAAAAACAAAATTTTTCTTTATCTCAAATGTTAATATTTGAAATAAACTTGTTCCAGAAGACATTCCAACTTTTGTTCTTATTTTTAAGTTGTAATTACTTTTTCTATCCTGAAGAAGTTTGTTTAAGATGACCAAAAACATTTGAAAATTAAAATTATACTCCATTTTAAAGCTTTAAGTGTTAATACTGTGGTTTATGACAAGTGCAGTTTTGCTGAAAAGGGATAATGTAAATTTTTGATATTAAGATGAAAAATTCAACTTAAACTATAGTAATATTTGGCTTTAGGGATACCGATGCTGTTACTACCCTTAAAGATGACTGGAAAACCCAGAAAATGGCAGATAACTGTTTGTACTTCTTCAATACAGTATAACTTTTTCATATTTTGAGCATAGGATGGAATTACAAACTATGAAAAAGCTAAGCACAGTTCATCTGTCTGAACACAAAGTAAGAATTGGATGGATGTACTAGCAAGTCAATAATATTGTTTCAGAAGGCCCTAAATAATATTATTTACTTGAATGAATAAATAATTTTAAAAAATTGCATGCTAGTGACCTTGGACATCATTGCTTTGACCACAGTGTGTGTCAAAAATAAAATTGTAGATTTTTATTACATTTTTAATTTTCCCATCTCATATATAAGATGACAAAGTTTAATCCAAATCGAATAATTAGATTTTGGGAACAAACTCAATTCTATAACCACATAGAAGAGGTTTCAATAAACTTCACTAACATACTGCCTCAATTAAGATTACAATCACATATAATTTTATATGTAGATACATCAGTTATGGTACTAAAATATGGAATATGTTTTCTTTCAGATTTTAGCTTTATATATTAGTATTCTAATTTTGAAAATTTAGTTTTTTTTTAACATAAATGAACTTTAAAAATAATGAAAATATGATATAAATATGTGTAAAAGGATTTTTTGGTTTTATTTTTAGTCCTTTTATTCGTCCAAAATTTGGAAAGCTGCATGAGTCTTCATGTATGGTATGTTAAAATATTTATTTATTATAAAAAATATATTGAGGATAAGTAATATAAAACATATTTTTATTTTAGGAACAACGAGAAGCTTGTAAGGTAATTATAAAGTTTTACTGATATTACTTAATATTTATAGATTTAATATATGATGGCAGTAATATGCTAGAAAATTAGGCTAAGGTTTGAAATCGTAACATCATGACTTATATTTGTCATTGTTATAAAGCAGAAGTGATCGAAACTTGACACAATAGGAACTATATACTGTATATCAGAAATACATGAGAGCCACATCCTATATTGGAACAATATTTTATACATAACCTATATACTGTATACATGTAGAGGAATAGCATTAAAGTCTACCTCTTATTACTAAAGGGTAGAAGAGTCACAGTTTGTCCACTGTGGTTATGTTATAAAGTTTGTGGTTATGGATAAAGTTTGATTAGACAAGCTTAAAAGTAATTTTAAGCTTGTCTAACCAAATAGTTTTTATCCTGATTAGTAAGATGTTCCTTATTATGTGCTTTCTACAAACAACTTCATAGAAACTTTATATTAATAGAGTTACTGAAAATGTAATGTAACAACACTGTTTAGTAGTTATTAAATATGTTGAAGAAATAATTTCACAACAAGTAAGTACTTTTATTTTGCATTCACCTATAATAAAATAAGCAATATATTTTTAACAATGGATTAGGTTAAAAAATGCTAATGTTTTGTCCCAGTAAATAGGCCATCATGAAGCATTGCATCAATAATGTTAAAATGCTATTGTTTGTGTTATCACATGTTTAATTTAGCAATGGTTATCATAAGCATTATGAGAATATCTTGAAAATAAACAACTTAATTTTGATTGTTGTGTACTGGCACAATGAAGTGACGTTTTTCTCAACACTGGGCTAGTTGAATCTTTTATTTAGTTAGAACGTTTTTTCCATACATCAACGTTTCGGGCATCAGCCCCTCTTCAGCTAACTAAATATATATAAAAATATTTAACAGGACACAAATAAAAACCAAAAAACTCACATAAATTCTTTGTAAACCATACCTCATTTCAGCATGGACACTGCACATACAGTAGAAATCGGACTACACTTAGGTTTTTTTAACATTTTCATTATCAATTTTTTTATCACAATTTTAACTATACAGGTTAAAAACAAAACTTTTTCTACATTTTATTACATAAACAAGATAAACTCTGCAGATTTTAAAAAACTAAAACTTACAAATTTCAAAAGTCTTTTTTTGCCACCTCGTCGACTGATCCGACAATTTGCATATAGCACTAT